CCCGAGGACCGAGCCCTGCGGAACCCCACTGCCCACGTCCTTCCAGGTTGAGAAGGACCCATCCACTACCACCCTCTGGGTGCGGCCCTCCAGCCAGTTGGCGACCCATTTGACTGTGTGGGTGTCTACACCACAGCCCCCCAGTTTCTTAATGAGAATGGGGTGAGAGACAGTGTGGAAAGCCTTCCGGAAGTCCAGGAAGACTATGTCCACTGCTACCCCTGCATCTAATGATCTGGTGATCTGATCGTAAAAGGCCACCAGATTGGTCTGACAGGACCTGCCACTGATGAACCCGTGTTGGTTGCCCCTAAGCATGCAGTCCCCTGCTGGCCCCTCCTGGATGTGTGCCAGAACAATTTTCTCGAACAGCTTGCCTAGGATCAAGGTAAGACTAACTGGCCTACAGTTCGAACAGCTTGCCTAGGATCGAGCTCGAACAGCTTGCCTAGGATCAAGGTAAGACTAACTGGCCTATAGTTTCCCGGGTCATAAGTCCAGCTGCAAGAATTCTTAATAAATCTCTGAAATCAAGACTGCAGAATAGCAAAGGCTGTACTTATACTTAAGAAATTAATAAAATAAGACATGGAGGTACCTAGGAAATTAGATAAATTGCAATTTGGGGTTATCCATGCCAGACTAGATGATGCCAGATTGATTTGAGGTCTTTCTTGAATAAATTAGCTTTTTTTTTTTAGACTAAGGAAATGCAGACAATCTAATCAATCCCGATTTCAGTAACATAGCTGTCAAAACTACAGAAACCGGGGATTAATGAGCAGAATATGGAAGCTGCTGCAGGGGAGATAACAATGGGAATGTACTGAAAGAGGAACTCTTAGGTCTGAGGGAGGTTAATAGTATTATTCAACAAGGATCAATCTTGTTTACTATTTAATACGTTCATTACTGGATAAAAGAAGGAACATGGCAATGCAATTTGTTGGTGACAAAGTTGGGAGGCATCAGCAATGCAGAGGAGAATCAAGATATGCAGGAAGAACTGGATGACTTTAAGGACAAAAGGAAACTGGATAGAGTTTAATAGCAGGAGGTGCAAGTACATGTACTTACGGACAACAAGTAGTATTTCTGCTATGAGAATTCATCAACTGGAAATGTCTGAGGAGGGGAAAGAGCTGGCTGTACTAGGCATTTATAGGAAGAGTAGGAATGCAGCTGTGAAAAAGTCTTCCTAGGAAAGTTATTCCCAATAAAAGAAAAGTATTAACCATTGTACAAAGTATATGTGGGATCTCCTCTGGAATTCTGTGTACAGTTCTGGTTACTCATTGCTGAGCAAGATGAATTTAAACTAAAACAGGTGCAGGGGAAAGGCTATTAGGATGATCATGGGTATTGACAATAGCCCACTTTTAGACAGTAGCCAGTTTAGCGTAGAATGGTTGTGATGGGCTCTAGAGATTTTAGACACTATTCTCTAAAAATACATTGGGGTGATAGACATTGGGGTGGGGGAGGGGTGGAGCTGTTTAAAGGAAAATGTTATCACAAAAGCAATGGCTATGAACTGGCCATAATTAAATTTAAGCAAAAAATAAGAAAGAGGTGTCTAAATGTCAGAGCAGTGATATACTGGAGCAGTCTTCCATTAACAAACATAAAAACAAACTCTTTTGAAGATGAAGCTTGGCCATTTTATTAAATGGATTTTATGTCCTGGCTGCCTGAGACTGTAGGGAACTGGATTCTTTGATCCAAGAGATCTCTTTCATCCCATGAGCTTATTTAGGCACTAAGGAGCTAAAGAGTGAAATCTGATTGAAGATTAATGGAACTTTGGTTCTTAGTGTCTCATTTTGAAATTGACAAGTAAGCATCCAAATCACTTCGGCATGCTTGAAAACGTTACCCTTTGACTCAAACTTGTTACTGGTGTTTAAAGAGAGCAAAAGAACAAGCCGCAACTAAAAAAAATTCTTAATCTTTTCAGTTCAAAATGCTCAGACACCACAGCTGAGCAATTTCCTGCTATTCAGAATAAAATGCCAGCAGTGAACCAGAAATATCAGCAGTGAAACTGACTATAGTTATCTAAATTTCACTCCTGTGGTGCTTTATGCACCTATATGCTGGAGTAGAGTCTCTGGAGGGATTTTTTTTCCTGATTCAAGAAAACAACCATGCTTGGTTTTTTATATGATAGCTTATTCTTTGAAACCATGGTGACTCAGGATGATCTTTTCTTAACAAAAGCCAATTCCATTCTAATGGTTTAGGCCTCCTCACTCACAACAGAAAGCTTGGCTCTTGGTACAATGCAGCAGTTTTCAAACCAGGACTAATTTCTTTGTTGGTTTTTCAGGCCTTGTATGTTAAATTATGGGAAAAAATGTGCAGTAATTATTTACATCAAGTACATCCAGTAAATTAGCTAAGTGATTCTCATTTTGAAGCCTAACAGATGAAACTCTGAAATCTCTTGCCTTGGTGGTTGTTTAACTTCAAGATTACTGTAGCAACATGTACACAAGATGTTTACTGCACAGTAACCTAATAACACTGAGCAGTAGCATGCTGGTCAAAAATCATGCTGATATGCTATTGCACAGTGGTATTAGGCTACTGAGCAGTAAGTGTCACAAAAAAACCCTGTGCCGGCACTACTGTGTAGTAACTGTAGTTACTGCACATTTAGTTAGTACTTCATTAAGCAAGTACTAAGCTAAATGCACAGTAACTACTGTGCATTAATGAATGCACCCTGTATTCTTTACAGAAGGGTCCTGTTGACAGAAGCCATCTCAAATAGCCCTTTCTATCATTTCTATCACTAATAAGAGCACTTGGGCATTTTGCTGAAAATGGATCAGAGATTTTTCTACAAAAAGGGTATTTTTTTCTTACCAAATTAGGCATGATTCATTTAGTCATGATGAAAATGTAGTAAGTAGGTGAACTAACTAACAACTTCTTCTGGCTTCTCTTTTCCTTAGCTCTGTGTTTTTTTGTCTTGAATGAAAAAAAATGTTTTCCCATATGTCCTTTCACTGAAGAAAGAAACATTTCACTCTAGCTTTCTTTCACATTCTTCTGTATGCTGCCCCATCCTCCCGGTACCCTTCACTTTTCCCATAGTTCCTAAATGCAGTATTCTACCACATAATATATGGGATCCTGATACAGGATCTTTCTCTATTTGTAACACAAGAAACACTTCCTAGAAAAGAAGAATCAGGTAACCCAACTATATGAACAAAAGAGTCATTTATTATATATATATTCTCTAGTAAGTTATAATAGTCTCTTGGATTTTAAATGTCCTTTTGTTATTTCCAACGCTTAAAAATTATAATTTTAAAACATTAAATACTGTGTTATATACATTATGATTCCACTTCTTATTTCTAAACACAGAGTCTTCTCCAAGTGTAAACTTGGAGGGAACAGGAAACAATTCCTCTGTCATAACAGGCTGTAAAAGCTCACTTCATGTACCTGTAGATTTAGCTATGTGAAAAATAGCCAAATGTCAACACATTCTTGTATGGGAATTTTTTGTTTGTTTTTTGTTTTTGTTTTTATACAAACAGAAGGATAGAACTGGTCAGTACTTTGTCAATTTTCGGTATTATAACTTTTTTTTTAATCTCATACCTATTTTATATAAAATAACAAAATATACAGAGAGAGCTGAGTTTGTTACATTAGTTCATACACATACAGTAAATAAAAGTTTTCATGTATGGCTTTGCAAAGGTATATTATGAAGTGACTTTTGTGTTTTATTTATTTAAAAGCATTTTAAGAGAACGTGTTAGTGTGCTTACAATAGCGGCCATGGTAGTTGAATGTCGAGCCAAGAGTTTAATGCTAGGATCACCGGAGGTCTTGCCTGACACTGCTTCTGCAGCTTTCAGAAGACAAATGTAATTTATGACAACCTCATCTATCTTAGCTATAATTTCCTGCTGCTGTGTTTCAGAGTTCATGACTTTAACTAAACGCATGCAGGCTTCTGTTAAACAACAGAGTACTTGAAAGCTGGAAGTCATAGCTAAAAGCATTTCCTCAGGGCTTTTGTCAGCCATGGCCATTTTCCTGCAGGCACTTCCCAACTGTCTTGATTCTATAGATAACAGTTGTTTGTACTGAGAAAGTTTAAGGTCATATGTTTCCCGATGTAGATCTTCTCTCTTCTCCACGCATCCTCGGACCAGTGAGAGTAGCTCATTGGCATCCTTTTGTGCTGCAAGAAATCCATCAGGCATTGCATACGTTTTCTCCTTCATCACATTGATTCTGGTGATTCGTGCATCAAAGGCCACATCATCGAGGTTCATATCAATTTGGCCACCTTGGTCTTCAGCATTGCTTTTGTCATGTGTGTAGTTTGCCTCATTCTGGGGCGACTCAACAGCTTTCCTCTCAGTTTCAATGGAGAGAGACTGACTGACTGGCTCTGGTAGCTCACATGGGATCTGTGGCTCATAGAGGCAAGAGAGCTGGTTGTTGTGTACATCTTCATCATCATCATCATCATTTCTTCGGCTTAGGAAACAGTAGCTAAATGGGCCATGGCATCTCCAGTTGCTGGCATCCAGCTTTCGTAAGGGCAACGTTCTATACTGTTTGGAGTCCTTTTGAATGGCGCTCATGAGTGAAGACCTTTTATTCTCTTTACTGTCACTGGTGACATTCATAGAACTTTGTGAATAGCTTTTTGATAGCTTTCTGCCCAGTGGGAGTTCTACCCTTTTCTCTGACCTGGATTCATCTCTTTCTATGATGTCTAGAGACTTCAAACTGACTGCAGCCTTCTTTTTCTCAAAAAGCATCTCAATGCCTGTGGACCCAGCAATAATGCTGCTGCTGCTGCGTCTCAATACTTTTCTGCTACATGGCATCCTGAGGCTTCCTCCTATTATGTCATATGGCCGTAAACTGACTGCTGCCTCACATACCTGGTTTGCTTTGGGAATGTCACAAGAGTCTTGATTTTGACTTGGCACCTTTGATTCTGATAACATGGATGATAGCATGATGGTGTCAACTGGAGGCTGGTTAGGAAAAGCTGAAGGCATGCCTCCTTGTCTTCCATTTTCAGGCTCTGTGAAAGCTACACTAGGGGTAGTAGAAGAACAAGAGAGAATAATTAAGCATCACTCTGATAACACGTAGACTGAATTTCTAGATATATTTTATAAACTGTCCTTCCCTTCCCCTCCTCTGCCTTTTTTCTTTTCTTTTTGGAAATAAACTGTCCAGATGGGTTCTTAATATTTTTAAAGGTCTCTGTTTCACTTAATATACCATCCCTGCATAAACATTTGTCTTTCAGGAAAGAGAGAGATTTTGGTATGTCACGAATATGGCACAGCCATCAACATGTTCACATTTATACATACTTATGCATTAGCCTACTCTGATTTAAAAATGGAGACAGGAGGAATGAAATTCTAAAACATTTCCACAAACAACCCCCAAGGTACGTGGAATGGAAGTTTCCTATTTAGTACTTCAAGAAATATTAGCTAATTGAAAAATCTGTTATTTAATTAAAATTGAAAAAATTTGATAATTTGTGCCCATTTATACTCTCCCTCTTTCCCCCAAAATGAGTTCTTAGGATATAGACAGTCATAACAATTATATCCATATCAATATTGATAATAGCTTTTAGGATGCAACTATTATGCTTGCACGCTTCTATGACAACACAGGGTGCACAGCCATCGCCACTTTAACTCTATCCTGAATTCAGCCTGATGTCAGAGGCACAAAGCTAACTACCTCTCTTGGTTTTAACCTTGTTTCCTTCAGGGTTCAGTTACAATGCATCTCTTACATCTTCTGATTTATTTAATGATACAAGTTAGCTAAATCACTGTAAGTGATCATGCACTTTCCTGAGCAGCATGTTCCTGCTTTCCTTTTAAAGCTATTAAGGTAGGTTTGTCTTAGGCCAGTCTAAGGCAGTGAGAAGAAATTGCTTTGTTTGGTTTAAGATCTTTCATTTTTCTGGTTTTCATACATTAACTTATTGATGCTGTGTTTGATTTGCAACGAATAAAGGGTTTGTTTGTACCTGAGCTAAAATCTTTTGTTAAACTAATTTTAAAAAACCCCAACATTTATAAAATCTCTTGAAAAAGTTGTGATTAAGTTAGTGCATCTAAGCCAGGGGTGGGCAAAATGCAACCCGGAGGCCGGATGCAGCCCACCAGGCCCTTCTATCCCACCCGTGGGGCCCCTAAAAACTTTAGAAAAGTAATATTTATCTGCCCCTGGCTGCCTGTCATGCAGTCCTTGATGTCTTGCCAAAACTCAGTAAGTGGCCCTCCGCCCAAAATAATTGCCCGCCTCTGATAAGCTATCCTTACAGGATACACTTACCATTTATACTTAATGAATGACATGTTTTCTATACAGTTAGTACTCTGAGCCTTTTCCCTGGCCTATCAACAATGCAACTTTCATATTTTATTTCAATGGCTTATCAGGAGATAAATATTCTTTATTTCAGTGAAAGAAATACTAGCCACATATTCACATTATACTATACATTTTCAGATAGTTTGCTCCTTGCTGGGTGTTAGAAATGGTAGGTACACTTAGTGTATAGTAATTGATCTCAGATTTTTCTCTCCTAAATTGACATAACTCTATCTGTAAAGATCCTATTACATTTAGTAAGTGTGTATTTAGGCATGTAAGGGCAGAATTCACCTCCACTGGTGAGACACCTGACATTTATGTAATTTTTAGGCATCTGCATCACAAAATCTTGCTTCATCTTGCTTCACACTTCAAATCATGCTAACTTGCCTGAATTCCTTATGCAGCTACATTTTCACATAATGCAACTAAATTTGTCCTGCTGTGTATGCTTGGAAGTGATTCAGTGCTGCTGCAAAGCTGTATAATTGCATTTATGCTCCACTGCAATTCAACTTTGCAACAGACGAACAAAAATACCAGACCAAGTCTCGAAACTCCAGAAAAAAAGGGCTTTGACTAGTTACTGGTTAACACTGTACTGAGAACAGCATGTTGCTGGTGCCTACTTTTTGCCCAGTAGACTTCCAGTCAAGGCACCAAACCAGGACGTGGAAGACTCAGATTCTAAGCACGCCTCCTGTTGAGGGGATATAAATCCCAACCTTCCTCATCAAAAGCAGTGTCCTAATCACCAGACCACAGGCCAGACAGAACTGGAAGTAGCCAAGGAAGGAAAGCAACATTGAGAAACAAGAAGAATAAGCAAGAGAGTGTCTGATGGTGGCTCAAGGACATGGAAACTGTTCTACATTGTTTGCAATTTAAAAGTCATAGAACCATTGGGAAAAAACCCCCCATACAAACAGCCATTGGGGGACAGCAAGCTTTCTTCACATCTGTCAGTTTGAAACTCCTTTTCAATAAAACTGACTTAGATATTCCGATGTATATTAGTTATAAAGCCATCCAGTAACAGTCCTTGTAATAGTACTTCTTAATGTAGGAGAAGCCTCTTGGAAGGCTTTCCCTAAGAACCCTAACATGAAGACATATTTCTCTATGTTTGGGGAGAGGGGGAGAAAGCCTTGTAAATTGGTCATAAGGATACCAGCTGACTCTGCTGTCAAATCTCTCCTGAAACCAATTCTTCTGTGGCATCTCTTACCACACCTGGCTTACACAGAAGGATGGAGGGACCATACTAAGGATTGATGATGCTTTTCTTTCCAGATCACCTTGTTAACTACAGCACAAAGCCCCTCCCACCTGTACTGTTCCAACTCCAGTGAGCTGGATCCTGCCCCTTCTTACTGAAATAAAATCTACAATAGTACCATAACCTACTGGCATCACTGTGTATAATGTATTTGGCATTAAAAAGGTGTTGGGTAAAATAAACAGGGAGCAGGGGTCAGGAAGGTGAAAAGGGGTGAAAAGCTTTTTTTCAGCCATTTCTACCCCACAGGCATCTGGTTAGGGCAACCTGCCCCACAGCTATCTGGTTAGGATGCCCTAACCAGATGGCTGTGGGGCAGAAATGGCTGAAAAAAAGGCTTTTCAGGAAAAAGCTGAAGTGTGAGTGTGAACAGGAAGTCAAAACCTGGGTGGGGGCAAAACCCAGGTTCCCCACATTCTGGCTAAATGCTGTAATCATTAAGCTACTTGAGAAGGAGAAGCAGCTTAAGACTGGTTGGTAAAGAGAATGACAGTTGTCTATTTAGTGTCTATTTGCTCAGGTCAGAAGCCCTGGTAAGATAAGTATGTGTGGGGAGGTGGGGGAAAAAGTGGAATTCCAACCAGTCATCAGATACATCACAGCAGAGATGAAAATTTACCACCGAAATGATTGGGGAGTCCCATGTTTCCAGTGTAACTGAGGACCTCTCTGTGGAGGTGTCCAAGGGCTTTCCATTTTAAATGTATGGAACATGTATGATTCTGCAGAGGGAAGCAGAACTCACATCAGGGCACCACTAGCTTTATACTGACTCCCCAGTTACAGTATAGGAGACTATGTTACCCTGCAGGTGAAGTAAAAAGCCTCCTTGATCCTGGTCCTGTAAAGCCTATGGCATCAGCTATGTGTTAGGTGCCTAATAGGTGGACTAGGATCTGGCCCTATGTATCCAGGAATTCAAATGAAATATAAACTTGACACTGTGGCATAGCATCCAAGCAATATTCTTTTCAGTATGCATCATGTCATAGAGAATTTACATTAGAAAATAGTTTTTGAAAGCAAATAATAAATGGAAATGTTTTTTCTTCTGTTTAATAAAATGTAATTGTGGGGGAGAGGGGTTAATTCAAATATTTATTTGCAGTGTTTGTAATCAGCAACCAACAGTGCATTCACACATTAGAAACAGAAAGTGAAAATGATTAGAAATCGTCTACGTCTAATTTTACTGTCCACTGCAGCTTGACGATATGATTTCAGATACGGACAACATAATCTTCACACCTAGTTTTTACTCATTTTCCCTGTTAAATATGTGCTTCAGAAGTGCTTTATTATTGCTGTACCTGTAGTTTCTTTTATCTTGGGGATCCGATGACATCCATCTCTCAAAGTGCCAAATAATGGTTCAGCGTTAATTGCTGAATGCATGACAGGCACTGTCATTCTATGACACACAGCTTCAGACTGCTGATGTAGCTCCTTGTAAGTTGCTCCATGGTTTGGAAGAATGGCAGCTCTTTCATCTGCTGGGATATAGCCAATACCCTTAACTGATGAATCAGAAATAATGTGCTTAACATCAGAAGTACAAAGAGGAGATTCAACGGGAGTAGCACAAGTGCTACTGCCTGTGCTGCAACCTGCATCCACTGAAGAGCACTGGGAGCTTTGCAGAGAAAAATGGCCTTCACTTTGCAGAGAGGACATGCGCTTGGCCAAGTGATATTCACAAAGTCTTGCCACGCTCTGCTCAGCTTCTGGAAGCTTTGAAGGATGGTCATCTGCAGATAACTCCACATCTTCTGTGTCATTTAGGTCTTTGGCTGAAGACACACTAGTCATATCAGACAAAAAGCCTTCACTCTGGCCAAGTCCTAAAGTATCATCCTGATCCACTTCAGGATCCACTTCATCTTTACAGTCAACTTCTGTCTTACCAAGGCCAGAAACTCTTGGAAATGTCTTCCCATTCACTATTTCTGAGCTTGATTTATCTGCTGCTCCATCATCAGAAGCAGCATACCATCTTTGGCGAAAGGCAGGTCTTTCCATATTAAAAGTATTTACACGTTGACTGTCTCTTGATGCAAGACTACCAAATTTACCTTTTAGGTCTTCATCAGTCTCTGCTTTTTTACTTCCCGGCTGCTTTTTCACAGTTGCATTGCCATCAGAGGCTGCTTTTGCTTCTCCATCAGTCACCTTATTTTTCCTTTTACTAGTGCAAGAATATACCAAGGACCCCATGTGCAATTTGCTAAAATAGTCAGTGACCGATTTTGTTTCCATAGTCTCTGGTTCCATTTCCATGTTATCTGAATGAAGAATCTGCTTTGAAGGCACAACTTTTGATTGTAGCTCTGCAGCTTGCCGATTAGTCAAAGACTGTGAGGATTTCATTAGTGATCCTCCAGCCTGATTCTTAGCAATGGGGAACTCTGTCTGCTCTTCCATGAGGTGTTGGTAGCCTTCACTAGTGGCCAAAAACATACGTGTGGAATTTTCTGACTGTTTCTGTGCTGTAGCCAGTTCAGAACTTTCGGTCATTTCAGAAGAGTTTGTTTCATTGCCAGAATCTGAAGATGACTCAGGGCTATATGCTCGCAAGATTGCTACACCTGCAAGCCACAAAAGATAAGAGTCAATTAATGAAAGCATCTGAGGCACTTGGATAAACTGATAAGCAAATGGGGTGTGTGAAATATAAAAATATGCTTGTAAGAATACTCTTGAGTTTATTGCACAGGTCCCAAGAAAAAAAACTTAACAACATACTGGTAGTTCCACTACACGACATGGAATGTGATGCATGTAAATGATGGTAAAAACATAGAGAATGGAATGTTTCCAACACTAAACAGTTCAAATGAATGAAATGGGATGGTTTTCAATGAATAAATGTAACTATGGCAAAAGAACCTGAATTGTCATTTGTCTGCTGTTCCTCGGAAGCAGCCAAAGCTTCTAGTGCTTGAAGAGTAGAGACTACAGCATCATCTAGCCCCTTTTCACATTTGCCCTCTGCATTAGTAGGGACAGCATCAATGAGTGACACTGGAATGTCATCAGCTCCTGGATCACTAGCTTGCTCCTTTTCTTCTCTATACTGTGTTGTTTGGTTCTGAGAGTCTTCCTCATCTGAACTGTCTCTGAAGCCAGGAGGAGGAGCAGCAATGGCCATGTTTAAGGTATGCAATAAGAAGTCATCTTCATTATCATCACCTTCTGGAGGGGGGAGTGAGGTCAAATCAATAATGTCATCACTAGAACCAGAAAGGCTGAGAATGGCAGGCCTATTAATTTCTCCTACCATAATATCTTCCTCGCAGCTCACTTCATCTTCATCTTCTGCATCATCTGTGTTTTCTGCATAACAAATGTCATGCAATAAAGGCTCTTCTATCCCTTCTGCAGCTCCAAATATCTTGCCATCATTTATGCTTGTGTAAACAGAATTTGCAGCAAACTGAATGCTTTCAGCATCTGGTGACAATTCTAGACCTTTCATATCATTGGCATTACTAATATAAATAGCTCTTTGCTTCTCTAACACTTCTGGACTTTCATCCAAAAGTCTTTCATAGCCAAGAGTTTGGGGACTGATGCCATCCAAACTGTGATCTCCAAAAATAAAGGATACTTTTGCTCCCCTTGGTGAATCCTGAGCTTTCTTGCTTGGTTCCAATCCTGAAAGTGACAGCAATGACTGCTGATTTAAACCTCTGTTTGCTTCCGTCTCAGTGGGGCCACCTGTCTTTATTAGCTGCTCATCAAATCCACCTGAATTATAGGTATTTTCTATGTACAGATGCCTGTGGTCCTTTTGACATAAGGGACTTTCAGAGAGATCTGCCATTTTCTGTTTTGGGTCCACAAAAGTAATATGGGCCTCTCGATCTCCTTCAGCTGCAAATGTGGTAGTTTTTGATATACAGTTCCACTCAGGAGCATGGAGCTTGCCTCTGCTTTCAATTCCTATAATATAAAAATATAAAAGCAACAGTTGTTTAACAAAGGAGTCACTCCATGCAATTTGATAATAATAATTTGTTAATCCTGTGTAATCTGTATTTTGAATAGGATAGCTGTGTTCAGCAGTCAAAGCATTTCCAAACTCATCTTTACCTTATGTTAAGGAGTTTTAGATTTAAGAATTAATCTTAGCCAGATGGTTTTATGATATAAGATTACAGAATAAAACAAGAGCTAGGTAGAATTATATTTTAAGACTCATTAAAAGAAACCCAGCACCTCATATTCCTAGATATAGATAATGTTAAAATAACTGTTTAGATTATCATTTATTTATTTCATTGTGGCATTAGGAGTGTACTGGACATGTTATTCCTTTTTTTTTTATTAGAGATATAGGCTGCCCTCCCCAAGAAGGCTCAGGGAGGCTTACAATAAAAGGCAAAACAACCCACAAAGTACAGAACAACAACAGACTCTCCCAAAGATACCCAGAACTTCAAAACTCTACTCCACCCCACCTCACTCATTTCTGCTTCCCTGGCTATCACCCACCTGTGCTTCCCAAAGCCCATTCACTTCTACATATAGTAAACCTCTCCCCACTTCCTGGTACACACCATATCTACCCACTTTAACTCTCCTGCTTTTTCCTCTCAGTGTTCCACAGAGAGGCTGCAGCTGTCCCCAAGATGGTGTTATTTTACTTTTGGGATGTTATCAAAGGCTGAATTTTAAAACACCATGAATCTAACTTTTACGTTATAACAGTCAAGCCCTCGCTACACATTACATGTATTACACAATAAACTGGTTAGTCACACAATAAATTTAGAAGAGCTACATGTACAAAGTAATTATCACAAGAATAATGACTATCCAGCTATCAAAAGAGCCAACCAGCTACAAAGTTAGTGCTTGAAAATGTGTAAGACTTCGTTTCTATCCAGCTTTAATTTGAACATGTAGCAGGGCCCTCAGCCACAGTCTAGTCATCTATTCTACCTTGTATGGTTCCACCTGTTTCAATAAGATCCTGCGTTTGTGGACGTTATTTTAGGTCATCATACCATTTTTGTATACACGACAACTATTAATGCATGATATAAGAAATACCTGCTTCTCGATTTCCTGTATTTTTCTTGTTGGCCATGTTAAATATTGAGCGCCTTGAATCAACCAGCAGTCTATAGTATCCAGCTGTTAAACAAGCAAGGTTCATCGCATCTGATGATTCCATTAGCAAAGTAATAGGCTAGGAAGAAGACAACCAAATCTTGGTTAAAGCTATTCATTCTTAATGAGCTCACTTGATGAAGTATCTTTGAGTAAAAAAATAGTATATTCATAAAACTTCAGTGAAATAGACTAGTTTTCCTCATCTCTGAAATGTATAATATAAAATGACAACTAGGATCTCAAATGTTTAAAAACATCAGAATTGCATCAAAGATGTGTAACAGGATATTTTAAATTTGTTTGACAATTTTGTTAGATTTCTAAAGGGAGCTGAGCATTTTAAGCTTCTTGCTCCATTGATCCTTTTACCTTACGCAGAGGTTTTTCCAGCATATCATTATTCATGTTATACCCCAAACTACTACAGGCAACCCCCGCTTAATGCAGTTTCAGTTAGCGCTATTTCACTATAGCACTCATTTAGAATTGATACCCGATTCTGCTGAGCGCTCAGACGGTTTCACTATAGTGCTCAGTGAATTGGAGTTTCGGCAGGCAGGAAGGGCAGGAGAAGCAGCAGTGGCAGCGAGTGGGAGGTGAGTGAGTGGCAGTGAGTGGGCGGGCAGGCATGAGGGCCCAGGGCAGGATGGCAGAAGCGTGGACCCAGGCTGACACATGCTGGAGTGGGCAGGGGGGTAGAGACAAGTGGCTGCAAAAGAGGGGAGGAGCACGGGACCCAAGCTGGTGCCTGGGGCCAGGGCTGGCAGGGGCCTGCATCCAGGGTGGGGGGCAGGAGCATGCGGCCTGCGCTGGGTGGGGGGCAGAAGCATGTGGCCTGCGGGCTTCCACTGGTGCATGCTGGGGCCAGTGAAAGCCTGCACCCAGAGCAGGGTGGAAGGAGCATGGGTGCCTGGGCTGGAGAGCAGGGGGAGTGGGGAGAAGCGGTGGCAACAGAGACAAGTAGCACAAGCCCGCGCTGGTGGCCAGAACCAGCAGGGGCCTGTGCCTAGAGTGGGGCAGCAGGAGCACGGGGCCTGCATTGATGCCCAGTTGCAGGGGCCGATGCCCAGAGTGTGGTGGCAGTAGTGCCAGTGCCCGGGCTGGCAATTGGGGCCAGAGAGGCCAGCAGGCAGGCGAGGGGGCTGGGGAGAGGCGGCAGCAGTGAGAAGCAGCGAGGTGGGGCTGGGCATGAGCGTGGGACCCGTGCCAGTGCCCAGGGCCAGGATTGGCAGGGTCCCAGAGCAGGGCAGCAGAAGCACAGGCCTGGGCTGTTACATGGGGTGGAGCGCTAGCAGGTGGGCGGGGGAGTGGGCAGAGGCAGTGGCAAGGCAGGCAGCAACCAATTAATCTCTATTTACATTCATTTTTATGGGGAAATGGATTTTGCTTAGCGCCGTTTTGCTTAGCGCTCGGTTTCTTTGGGATCAATTAAGAGTGCTAAGCGGGGCCTGCCTGTAATAGCAAAAAGCTAAGAATCTGTTACTGTAGGAGTTGGAGGAACTTCAATGAAGCAGAATCACTGAACCTTGCCAGAAAACTAGAGTGTTATGCGGGATGTATGTGTGGAGAAGCAAAATGACAAAAGCAAGCAGCAGAGATGAGGGAAGATGCAAGATGAAAGGAGGTGGCAGTGAAGGTAGAGCACACTGAGGGAAAGGGACTCTATCCCAAGGGTGCAGACAGAAGTGCAGCTCCCAACTGCAACTTAGAACAATTTTTGCAAAGAGTTCTGAGTTACAACGTTACCCCAGACCAAACAGATGTTCTCTGTTGGTTTTAGTGGGGAGAGGAATCTAGCTGGCTGCTGGGAGTCTGCAGTCAGGTTCCCACAACAGTGGCCATGGCTCTCTGCTAGTGCCCAGTACCCGCTGTTTTCAGAATGGGAGGAGGGAAAGGTAGTGGAGGGAGCTTGTTCTTGGGGCTCCCGACCTGGTGCTGAAGAGTGGGGTTGGTGAACAGGAGTCCTCCCGCTTCAGGGGTGGGGCAAATGAAAACCCCCCAGATTGAACTCCCTCTGCTCCCTCTCCCCCTCTCAATCTGAAAACAGTGACAGGCTGGGAGCTCTGCAGACACAAGTTACAAAAGATGCTACATTTTGAAATGTCTTTATCATACCTCATGCAATGAGGGGTCAGATTTTCACCCAATCAGCCTTTTTTCAAGATGTCTGCAGCTGTGCACTTGTGTTTAGTCACAGCTAAAAACTGCCTTCTGTGGCCAAACTGGGCAAAAATTGTCACTTCTGTCTGCACCCAAGGTAGCAGCACTACGTTGCAAAGGAAGGGGGAAAATTGAAGAGAATTGGAGATTCTAAGAAAATATGCCAAGGTGATGACATTAGTGTATGAAGAGTCAAGAGTCTACAATCAATAAAAGCCAATGACCATAGAAAGAACATAAACAAAATGATTGCAGAAACTGAAATAACACAAGTGCAGAGAAGAGGAATGTAGAAAGTGAGATCAACATTTAAAATGATCTTACAGCAGTGACAGAGAAGGGTCCAGAAAAGACTTACATTGACCTAGGTTACAAAAACAGTGGGAGCTACACAGAAAAATGAAAGAGCATAGGAAGTGACAGTATCTCAAGCCCAGGAGCATCAAAATGAAACCCAAGTGTAGCCAGAGTTTCTATATTTCCTATATCATGACACATATTCCTTTACCCAACATTTTATAGGTCTGTATAGCTCCAGGAGGTAGGTATTGCCATGGCTCCTGCCCCCTATGCTGTTTGTGTAGTTTGCATTAAATACTCAGTGGATTCCTGCGTAAATCAAGATTAGAACCTAGATCATCTGGTACCAGACAAATATTTAAACCACAAATCTACCTTTCTTTGATAAAGCACTGTGTACTATGCACTATACATATTGCATGCAAATCAAGTTTGCAATGAATATCCCATTGAAGACTGTACATGCCTTCAGTTTTTCTATCTGTAAAATAGGAATAATGATCCTAACCTTTTTTGTAAAAGCTTTGAACTGCATGAATGAGAAGTCCTGAGAGCTGCTGTTGCTGCTTCTCATGCCAGCTTAAGTTTATCCCCAACACTTGCTCTAGTGATTCATTTTTAGGTAGGTATTTTCCAGGTGTTTTCATAATTTAGAACAAAGATAGCAGCACCATAAGATTTTTAGCCCATGTGAGGTTCCCAAAAGTACCCCTGCCTTTCTTTTTTTTTAGTATCTCCCAGCAGAGCTAATTACACTCTGAGCAGTGCCACACTAACATTGCTCCCAGTTTCAGAGCTAGTGCACACAGAACCAGCATGGATTACCAAAACACAGCACTGCCGTGAGCCACAAACATACCTGAAGGGGTTGTACATACTCTTTGGGCTGTGCCCCTAGCAGTATCCTGTTCTGCACTGTTTCACTGGTCACAGATTCCACATTACAGCTCATTATCACATTGAAAAACCTGGGGCCCTTTCAGTAAAATATTTGGGAAGATAATGGTTGTCCATTTTACTAGAACTGCCTGCTAGCAAATGGGCAATTATTGTAGAGGAAGCTATGAAATTGCTCTCCAGACTGAAACTAAGTTCTGTGATCAGAGCTGTCTAACACAAAGCAGGCACAGAACAAGATCTATAATACTGGATTGTAAACCAACACTCATGGTGTTAATACTGTTCCCTGGCACCCTCATTCAGTAGTACATTACATGAATAGTTTTAGGCTTGATGGAAAAATCCAGACATTTTTAAATTTGTTTTTATTGAGAGCCAAGTATTTTGTTTTTGGGCAGTCTGAAATTTTGATCCCATGTATAGGAACTTTGGCAGAATGATCCATACTTCCTACAAGGCATTCAACCACAGGGAAAAAATAACACAAACTATTAATCCAAAGATGAGTAAATCAATTCTTGTTATGTAAGACTTTTAGAAAGAGCTGACATTTTAAATGCTTTGTTGACACTGAACTTTTTGTGAAGATTAACAGCAGTAGGTAATTTCCACAGAGATTTCAAATGCCAGGAATACTACTGTAACCTACTTCTCACCCATTTTGCATTCTTGTAGCAACCAAACCCTTATTAATGACTTCTTTGAAATAACTTACACTTGAGAAGCTATTTAAAGGAAGAATCAACAATAAAGACCCAAACTGAACTTTATATCCAAGGTTCCTAAAGTGCTTTGTAAATATTAATTAAAGCTCATAGTACCTCTTTCTCCTTTTAAAGACTGGCAAACTGACATAGAAGGCTGCTATGCTAGAGATATCTAGATTGTACATCTTTTCCTTAGGAAAGCCCACTCCCTCTTGTTTCACAAAGTGCAGCTCACCCCCAGGGAAACAGGTGGTGGTTCAAGTTGCCCTCATTTTGAGTTGCTGCTCTGAGGCTCAGCTGTTATACTTTCTAACTAAATAGTTTTTGTACATAAGCCCAAATCCTAACAAATGCCAGCCTCTTCTTGGGACTACCCTGTATCATAATACACTTTGGGTGGTCACATTTTTGGAGGAGTTCTTTAACTACTAATATATACCTGTTCCAAACATGTAGTCCTATATGGTAACAGGGTTTGGCTTCCCTGTTACCATGGTTCTAGTGTAAATTGAGTGTGATGCTCCACGACAAAAATAATAGGAAAACTTACAGGCTGGTGAACACCCTCTGTTCTCCAAGTCTGTAACAACAAGAAGAAGAATAAACTTGTGATCTGCTAATTCATTGAGGAAAAAGATATTATATATGGTTGGTATCAAGAATGGCAAGGAAATTGAGACATAGTATCCATGTCTACATGAGACACTGACTGTGCAGTCATTACTGCACAGTAATTTAGTACTTGTTTATACTGCACAGTACTGGAGTTACTGCACAGTAGTGTCGTGTCATGCTTCCTGCCACATCACACTATTGTGCAGTAGTCACAGGGTATATGGGAAGAAAATACACTATTGGGTGAAACTACTCAGTTCAGGGGCCCAAGAGATCAGCCAGAATGTATTAGGAATCAATGAGCTGGTTGAAGGGACCTTGGATTCTTATGGAGTCATTTAAAAATGACTCATTGAGGGACCTGGGATTTTTAAGGAAACTCATCCCAGGAGGAAATTAACTGAAACTTCATTTAGTTTCTCCCTCTATATCTGCATACCCTGTTATTTGCATGCAGTGGAGGGAGAAGAGAGAGAAGCAGACCCTTCCTGGTCACCAAACTTTTGGGACTGGCAAGAAAAAGGGGATGCAGCAGGCAGCTCATAAAGAGACTCAAGGCTGAAAGCTAGGAGTGACTAAGGAGTTGGGAAAGGCTGCAGAGCAAAGAAAGCCAGGCAGCCTATTAAGCTAAGCAAAATTGCCACCCCCTCCACCCCGCTCCTGTGGGACACTCCATCTGTCCCACCATCACAGCATTCACAAGCTGCGCCGGATATGTAGAAAAAACATTTAAAGCTGTGTCTATGGCTGAATCGCTGATTCTCCAAAGGCGCATCAAATCTTCAGATTAGGCCGAATTGAATCAGGACAGTGATCCGAATCAACGAATTGAATCACTCTCCCGCGATTCAGGGCAAATCCGAGTCTGAATCGAATATGGCTCGTTTTGCACACCCCTAACCCACAACTACATTAGACAGGCAAAGAAAAAGCAGAAAAAATTATAGAAAAAGAAACTTTCTCTGAATGCATCTATACATGCAACCCACTGCATAGTTGGTACTTTAGCAAGTATTAAATGACTGCATAGTACCCGCCAATACTACGTAGTCCTGGTGGTGCATGGGTTGTTTCTGACCCTACTGAACAGTAGTGGCGGCATCACACTTAGTGCATGCTGACGCTATGTCACCATAGCTTGGCGCTACAGCAACGTAGCGTCTCACGCACTCTCTTAGTAGGTGATTCTATATATGTGATCCTGTATTAGACGGAACTCTGGTCAAATGTGGTGCGGTGATACTTAGGTTCCTGTAATGTCCATCTTTGATATAGAACTTTTCATCTGTAGATTTCAAACTACTTCATGAGGAGGTCAGTATCATTATCACCATTTTACATCCAGGGAAACTGAAGCACAGAGTACTGAAATTACTTGCCCAAAGTCACCTAGCAGACCAAGAGCACAGCCAGGAATTCAACTCAGGTCCTCCAAGTCCAATCCAGTGCTGTATTTACTAAGACCTCTCCTTCTCTAAGAAATAATATGTATTCAGTTTGATTAAATCAATTCTAAAATAATTTCTTGCACCATGGGTGGCATGAAAACCTTTAAAATAAAATCAACTCCACAGCTCTCTAAATATTCTCTCTACAGGATATTTAAATCAAAAAGAAAAAGGAAAGCAGCATTATTTTAGAAGTACAAGTCTGTACAAACCAACACCAGCTTACCTTCACATCTAAAACATGCAGCTCAACTCGAACACTGCTTTCATCTTCTGTGAACATCTCAATCCTGTTCACATGGCTGAAGTCTGCTAGCAAGGCCACCAGATTTGTTTTGGTGTTTATTACGTGGCTGATACCATACCGTGGCCCAACTAACAATGTCACTTCTGAACGTTTTTCTGCCTGCTGAAAAATTAAAAGAAAAAAAGGTAAGAAACCCAGTTATTGTTGCATATCACACATATGCATAAACAATCATCACTCTCTCAATTTGCACAGTTTCTTTACCATGAATTACTACATTCTCTGGTGACAAGTAAAAACCAAATACATGACTTCTCTAGATTTGTGTGTAATGGAGAAAGGAAATGTTATCACACTTCAGTTTACTTTGTTGGAAAGTGACTGTATTGTGATTTGCATATGAGTGAATGTTGATTTATATTTCTTAAAAGAACTTCATTACCAAGGTTTTTTCTTATCTCAAAATCTTTAATCTGTTGCCATTGTGTGCATGGTGTCATTTGCCAAGTGAATGTTATCTTCATATTGCCAGATGATAAACTGAATACCAAAGAATACATTTTCATAAGGAACAATTAGAGCAGGGTGCTGCTGGTCTGCTATTTTCTTATTTTTTAATGAGATTTGGACTTGAATGTCGTCAAAGAAAATATGTCAGTCCAGCGTTTCCAAATTTACTGGAGAAAATGATCAAGAACTTAAAAGGAAAAAATAATTACCACTAATGTTGCCTTGAAGACACGCCCCCCATACAGTCGTAGATCACTGAGGAACTTGAGATAATGCACCTTGGCTTGCAGGGCAGACAGCTGAGCAAAGGGATGCAAATTGCACATAATATTATATTTATTACATAAGTACGATGGGCTGAGAGAAATCAACACAAACAAATGGATGAAATAAATTATGAATATATAGCCTACAGAGAATGGCCTCGATCAGTCTGAAGTAAAGCATTATACATTTGATTTCCTGATGAGGGAATAAATAGTTTCAGTCTTAAAATTAAAGTGTTATTTTGTTTTGGTAAGTTGTACTTGGGAATTCGGTATGGGCTATATCAGGGCACTGTAAGAACACTGGAACCGTTCCAGAGAAGAGAAAACGTTAGACTACTCAGACTAAACATCTGCTCATTGAGGGATTTCAAGGGTAGACTGCATCTCTTTCTTCCTAATCACTGTCAGTGTAAATTCTTTAACATTTTGTAGCTTGAAAGAGAATAAAATGTCTAAGAATTTCCCAGGATCAGATTTACACAGTCCACTTTGCTATACATGTGTGATATATAGGAATTTATCTGACCCTTTTCCACTGCTTGTAAAATGTTTTTTTTTTTAACCAAAAAACAATTCAGTCACATTTTTAACTACACTTAACAGAGAACGAATAGGGAAAACATTTATTATGAAGCAGTACATGCAACATATAGCATGTACTGCTTAATAATCTCTCTCCATGAATATTGGCAATAATCTATTAATTAGGGCAAACAGAGTGAAATGCCTTAAAAAAATATCAGCTAAGGCAAGAATATTTATTTAGAATGGAGGGGGAAAGAGGATTTTTTTTTCAGTTCATCCAAATCATTTAGGCCCAAATCCTGCAGCTTTAAAAAATGTATTCTGCATGCAATTCAAACCCGACTCTGTCTTTATTCCCCCATTCACTGTTGTGCTTGCTGAAAAAGGTGCAGGTTATTGTACATCACTGTTGATGGCTCAAAATCTAGCACCAATAATTTATTCAAGAAACCTGCAGTACCAGTATAAAATACATCCAGCTGACATCTGTCAGTTGTTGTCTTGACTCTATAAAGGGGCTATATTACTTTGTCCAGGTAAGAGTTCAGCCATTAGCTTTCAGTTAACAGCTAACATTTACTGGTACTAAAGTAAACATTGCTTTACAATCATCACTTGGAGCCAGATCCAAAACCCAGTGAAGTTAATGGAATCACTCTGTTCGCTTCAGGAGATTTTAGATCAGGCACTTGGGCTTTTTTCTCATTCTGAAAATGCATCATCCTGCTGCCTAAAAACATTACACATACAACAGACATTTTCCATAGATAGGTCCTTCAACAGTTTCCAGTTGAAGCAATGGCTTAAAACCAAAGGTAAGAACTTTATAGTATCACTGAAAATTCAATTTCTATAAGCAAGATAATTTATCACATACCATCTTGCCAACCAGAGTTGCTTTACCCTGAAGAGCCAGAGCAAATCATCATGTCCCACCATGAAAGAGTTATCTGTCTGTGCCAGTCTTGCAGGTTAGCACAGCAGAGCATCGGAACGAGAGGACATATTTCCACCAAGAAGTTCACCATTAACAGCAGGCATTAAATGAATAAAAATCTTGGGGTTAATAGTAAATTTCTCACCATTCCAAGATAGGAAGATGGCTTAGTTGGGGTATAATTAATTAATTGAAATTGTTCTTGGGAATGGGATAATAGGTTCTGAAGGTTATAAAGTCTACAGTCTCTGAAAATATACCTGCTAGGTATTTCTCCAAAGGACTAGTTTTAAGCATTTCCCATGCATGAAGTCCTCTCTGGTTTTTAAAATATATTTCCAATTAAGATGCAAATGTAATACCTTTTTACCCGGAGGAACTAGGTTTTGATTTGCTTTGACAAGGTGTGAAAGTGCTTTCTTTATGTTCTTTTCTTTCATGCTTTGCAGCACAGCAGATGGAAGAAAAGTCTCTAATCCCCATTCTTTTCTGAAATAAAAGGCATATCTTTAATTTCACATTTCTACGTTGATTATTTATCTACACTTAGATAATGGCTGTGAGACTGTGAATGAGATCATGAAGGCACAGAGAGAGGTGGTAAAAGCCAATTTTGAAATAACAAAGACATATTACTGTCTATACTCACAGAATACTCATACTACTGAACAGAAAAAAAAGTATGCTTTTAACATCTGAAATATAAATCTCTCTCCTCTCCCTCACTCCAAAGAGATTCCATAGTTCCTATCATTTTCCCTCTTTAATTCCACATACCCAAATCATAGATAAATGCAGGAAAACATAGGTTAGCTCCAATATGCACATTATACATTTCCCAAGAGAAACATTTTTAAGCACTGTATAGGTTGTACTTGCTCCACTATACCTGCTTTCCTTTAGGATTTTTTAAAATTTATTACCGCACTGCTAGGCCTACATTTCAAATTATACCATGAGCATATTAGGTGCAGTGTGTGTCCCACGCAACCCCACACATATCTTGTGCAATTGCTAGTATGCACCAGGCATGTTCAATATGACAACAGTACTTCCTCCTCAAGGTAAGTCTTTACTACTTCTGTGGTACTCCTCAAAGTACTGCCTGCCAACACCAAACCCAGGAATGAGATGGGGAAGGCCACCTTGGGGCTCCTCCTTCACTCTTGAGATCCGTATCTCCAGTGGGCAGTGAGACTGGCAGTGGGAAGACACCATCAAGGCAACTTCATCATGTCATTCCCAGCTTTCGTGCACTGGGAGGGGTCTGGGCAGTGCTGTGCTCCTTAACGGGGTGCTGCAGAACTCAGACAGATGTAACAGACCGTGAGAGTTGCTGAGTGAGTGTTGTGAGTCAAAAAGCTATCAGTGTTGCTTTCCAGACAGTAACCGGGATCCTTTCTGGGAGTCCATAAGGCCTTTAGGCTAGTGTTCATGGGTCTGTGTCAACCAGGGAAGGAAGAGAGGTTTAAAACAGGTGTTTTTCAGGTATGGTCATTGCTAACTTGGATTAAATTAAAAGTGCATTGAAAGTATGTAAACTACAATGCAATATAATGCTAAGTGAAATTTAATTTCCTTCTGTTTTTAACTAAAGGGGGAAATAACTTTTGATATTCCTTTTACAAGTCCTATCTATTTTATTTCATTTTATTGGGAGTTGTTCCTAAAAACATGACCTCTACATTCTCCTACACACAACTGGAATTAAACTGTGGTCTGTTTCTAGCATCATTACCAGAAGACAAATGGCTTCATCTGAAACTACTGCCTCTGCAGACTCAGTAAGAGGAAGCTTTACATAGGATGACCCTGAGATGCAAAAGCTACTAGGCAGAGTGTGAATGCTTCAAGGAAGTGCTGCAGGTAAATTAAACATTAAACAACAACAAAGACCTTTTTATCCACTGTGTTTCAGGTATTATTTTCGGAAGCTATTTTTATGTGTTTTCACATATTCTGAAAGCTTATAAGGAGAACATGAAACAGTCAACTGACTATTTCTAGAGCCAAGAAATGTTAAATTTATTTCTTGAGTTAAAAAAGGAAGAAAGCAGTTGAGTAATTTTGAGATTTTATAATCTTCTGAACTGTGATGCAAATAAAGAAAATAAGTTAGCCCTATTGAATTTCATTCCAGTGCATGGCAATGCAAACTGAGAGAAGTCTACTTCACTCCATTGGGACTACTAACATGCAAAATAATAGCCCCAAGAGCAACAGCTTAGGGCTCTGAAGAGTTCATGCTCTTGGATACATTTTACTTAAAAAGAGGAAACCTAATATAAGATCTAGATACATAGCAAACATGCAAAACCTGGAAACAACTTCTAAAATGTATTTTCAAAGAACACTATTTTCACTTTCAGAGAACACTCTCAAAGAACATTCTTTATTCCACTTACTCAATATATTTGAGAGAAATTTTCTGTGTTTGCTTGGTAGTCACAGTTGCAATATACATTTGCAATGCAGCCAGTCTCAAAGCGATATCATATTTCAACTCTGGTCCAAACCTCTCCTGAACCACATCATTACAGCTCTGCCAAAAAACCAGTAGAGGGAGCATGACATTAAAAAATCTTTGATTTAAAACAGTGAATCATAAATATTTTTGTTAAAGAACTCTGCCACAAGATGAGCTCCATGTTCAAAAGTGGGATTATGCTGAAGGTAAATTGTCACTCTCAGAGATATCACATATTCAGGAAGACTGGATACCTGAGAAGAAACCAAGGGTATCTGTCAAAGAGAAAGTGGCATGGGAATAACAGTACTTTCATTTCTAAAGAGATGTTGTGAGGATATAATCAATACATTAACAACTGTGAAGTCCTTAGATACTATGGTGATCGTGTGCCTAAACCAGATTGGTAGATTCACATTGTGCATGTTCTATCTCTCTTACCTTTCAGTCTGTTTTTCAGCACTGACACTATAGTACCAGAAGTAATTATGCCGTTGTGAATTACTTCCTTCTAGAGATGAAGAGTACCACAACATTAGCATGAAAGAAAAATTTGGGGGGGTTAGGAAGGAAGAGAATGTGCCAGGAAACAGTCGGATACACGTGACCCTGAATGTAGTGGTATTATATAGCACAATCAGAATTAAAAATCAGGAGTACTTGTGGCCCATTTCTATGTGGGACAGTAAAAGTAAAAATGTCACTCAGCATATCCATTTTTATGTTTCCTTTGTTCATGTTAAGGCTGGACACATTTTCACTCACCTGTACATACAGATATTCAAAAGCCACTGGATCTCTTCTTAAGAGGTCAATGGGATCCTTTGGAACAAAGCTAATTCTGAAAAGACATCTCATCTTATGGGAGCCTGGCCTCTGGGTCACCTAGGACAGTGCAAAAAATGTGAAAAATATTACAGACAGTCTCAGAGAATGCAGTTCACAGTTGTAATTCCTTTCCCTAGTTGAGAGCCTAGTGAATGCCATATCAACACTTGACCTGCATAAATATACCTAAATTTAAACAGTGGAATTCACTTGCTCTGAAGGAAAATATACTGTATTTACTCAAATAGAAGACAACCCTGATTGTAAGATGATCCCCAAATAATTAGATTCTACATATGGCAAATTTATAAATTTGTAACAATTTTCCAGGTACAGAATCTACTTGTTGGAGGTTTACCTTGAATTTGTCCCCCTCCCACTGCTACATCAGTGAAAATAAATCTGAAGTGTCAGGTAGTCCCTTTGCCCTCTGCTTATCCCCAGCTTCTTATCTCTGAAGTTCCTTCTCCCTTTCTTTGCTACTCTCTGAGAGCCATGTTAATTAAAGCACCTTGAGCATTATGTGTATCAGCATCCCCATGCTGAAAAGTGGTGGTGATGAAAAGTGTTTAGCAAGCTTTCGTTAAAGTGCCCCTACCACCATTTTACAGCGCGGGGATGCTGCTACATGTTACTCTGAAGTCTGCTGGAGCTCAGTAATTAGCACATTCCAGCAGACTTGATTAATTGAGTCTGCTCTGACATACTGTACTTAAAGTGCATTTGAACAGCCTCACTGAACATGTATAGGCACCCATTGTTCATCCAGAATTGATGAATGTTACCTTCTTTTTTTTTTAACTGTTGAAAGTTTTAGCACAAGTACTCCATAAACACACTTTTGAGCATCACTTTGGCAACTACCAAGGCATCTTGAGCAAGGCTAAGGACGTCCTCCTCCCTCTCTACTCAGCCTTGGTGAGACTGCAGCAGAGGGGCTGGCCAAGCAGTGACCACCCGCAGGTGGCCTTTTTGCAGGGGGTGCATCACCCCTGAGGAAGGATATGGAAAAGCTTGAGAGAGTCCAAAGGAGGGCCCAGAGAGCAGGTCCTATGGGGAGAGGCTGAAAGACTTGGGACTATTCAGTCTGCAGAAGAGAAGACTCAGAGGGGACTTGGTGGCAGCCTATAAGTACAGTAAAAGCCCTGTTAACTGGCATCCCCTGGGAATGGGGGATGCCGGTTAATCAAATGTGCACTGTCTGGTGTACTCCCCAGGGTCAGTGTGCCAGGGGACAGGGAGGGGGACCCTGCACAAGCTGCTTTGCCCTGCTCAGGCTGCTTTGCCTTGGGCTGTGGGCTGAAGAAGTGGCAAAAACTCTGCTCGCAGCAGTGGCGAAACCCGGAAGCGGTACTTCTGGTTTCGCTTTTGCTGCAGCCCTTGGATGCCGGTTAATAGAGTTTTCTGGCTAATAAAGTGCCGGTTAACACAGCTTTTGCTGTATATCCAGGGCATATATCAGGGCCTCAGGGAGCATCTATTCAAGGCCCCCCAGAGGAGGACAAGAAATAATGGATATAAACTGATTGAGGATCGCTTCAGGCTAGACATAAGTAAAAACTTCTTTACAAGATACTAATTTTATTAAAGCACATGTATGGCAAAAAGTTTTGTGCAACAGCAGAAAGAAAATAAAAGGAATATTAGGGGAGAAATAGAGCTGTCAAGTCCTCAGCATAATTAGAACTATTCTCCCAGGTCTGGACAGTCAATCTCTAAAACACGGATAACCTGAACAACCTATGCCGGAATAGCTGTTCAGTAGCAAGAGCCCTGTGACACACACAGGTTTACAAAGTGGCAGCAGAGGCCAAGCTCAATGTGAGCAAGAGCACCTGCCTCGCCGTGGGCGAGCTTGGGGACATAGAGTCCCTGAGGGTCTCAGTTCTCTGCAAGGGAGTCAAGATCCTCATGGTGGAGTTCGATCCCAAACTGAGTGGAAGGATGGCCTGGGCAAAGAAGGAGGCCAAGTTTAAGCAGATGTTGGATCTGTGGCACGCATACCACCTCTCCATGGGGAGGCGCATAGCGCTTATGAAGGTGATGTTGCTACTGTTGCTTCTGTACACCACACTGGTCTTCCCACCTCCTCAGCATGTCACTCACAGAATCCAGAGAGTCATGTGTGTCTTCTTCTGAGGATCTAGAGGGGAAAGGGTAGCAAGGAAGACCCTATACAAGAAGAAACAGATTGCGGGCAGGGAGATGCCAGACATACTCCTGTTCCTGTGAGCAATGTACACAAGCCAGATCTGAAAGCTGATAACTGGTACAGAGAACAAAACAGCCTGTCTCATCAATTATTTTGCAGGTCACCTCCTGAGACTGTGAGGCGTATATGCACCAACCAAAGGGAGACCGTGGACCATGGAACACCCCTGATTCTACAGGGTCCTGAATGAGTTCCGGAGGGAGTAGGGGTTACAGAATGAAGGCCTAGTGACTATGTCAAATGACAGGAAGATACAGAAGGAGGTCAGAGCCAGAGACATGCTATTGACCATGGAGCTGCTCCCTGATAACAACTGCCAGGCTGTCTGGGAGCAGACCTTCCACAAGGACCTACAAAAGGACCACAGAGTTCTGAACTGGCTAACAGTCCAGCCACACTCCCAGTGAGGGCATGGAGACACAGAAAGGGGCAAGGAAATCAACCCAGCTGCCCCAGGGAAATCTGCCAAGGCACAACAGAGACCGTTGACCATCTCCTATGTCTTTGCCCATAAGCCAAGGGGGTGCAGAAAAAGCCAAACTGGCTCTGCGATGAGCTGACAGGGGTCAGATTGATGATGAGGGAGGTAGTGTTTTACGGACACGTGACTAAGCATCAGGGGACCCGGAAAACCTGCTTTGACCAGTTTGTATCCTGCATTAGAGGAACCCTGTGGAAATCCAGGAACCTCCTGATGTACAGACACATGAACCTCAAGGAAACAGATTGTGTTAAAATGTTTTTGAGTGAACTCCAGTCCTACTACCAGAAATTGGTGGGAGAGGACGGAGAAGATAAAACCAACTCTACCTGGCAAAGGGAAACTTGGCACAGGCCCTTCAAAGATCCTTCTAGATGGGGAATGGACAGGGATAGCAAAGAGGACAATGCGACAACCGGACCTGGAAACAGTGACGATGACAGAAGCAGTATCAGCAGCAGCGAAAGCAACAGTGACAGTGACAGCAGCAACAACAGTGAATGAACTGAGAATGTAAACCCCCAAATCAGGGCTAGGACTAAGAGACCGTGTGACTGGGTTAGGGAAAGGACTGCAGATGGGTGTGCGGGAGCATGTGTCCACAGGTGCGTTTATTGTAACGGATGCAGAGGCTTTAAATGTGGTTTAAAGTACGTGAAGAAAAGTCTTGTGCTAGATGATGTGTGTTTATATTGTTGTATGTCTGTCTGTATGTTTATACATATATAAATATTTTTGTTTTAAAAAAAAGGTAGATTCCTATTAGCATGTTTGCCTAATACGGGCCAAGTATTTTATAGTCATGCTCAGTGTTGGCTGCATTTAATCAACTTTATAGTTTCTATTGCTGGTTTCCATTGCTGAGCACATGCAGCAGTTTTGGCAGCAGTTTAATGATAGATAATGAATGAGGTTTCTTTGTATGAAATTATAAGACAAGGGGCTTTTTTCCCAATGCCAATTGTGGGGGAGGAAGTCTCACCTTGTATTTGAGTAAACTTGGTAAGTACTGTTCTCTCCCTCTCCCTCTTCCATGCTCCCACCCAATGCAGTGTGCACACTGCAATACTGGTTATATCTAGCCTCCACAGGTAGTTAAGCTGTTCATCAAAAAAACTGATTACCCTTTGCAGGACTTTAATTGTATTCAATTTTCAGAAGTTCCAAATCTTAGGTTAGATAAATTTTGTTTATATATTATTTTTACTGTCATAGCATATTTGTTGACAGGGATTTAGAATAATAATGTATTTTTCAATTGAAATCAATTATATCTAAGTGCCTCAAATTCTTTGAAAACCTTAGCCTCAGTGAAAATTACCCATTGAAAAAGCTGAAACATGATTTGTAGCTGTAGGAATAATTTATTTAACTATGTCACTGCAGATCAAGACATTTCCCCCAACATTTCCAGACAAAATAGTTATCCTTCCCTCCAACAGACACAAGAAACCTGTGTTTGAGAGTCCCTACAGAACTTTTTAAAACAGCAATATAATTAGCTAGGCATAATCACAAGGTAGCATTAAACAGAACCACCAGAGAGACAGACTAATCAGCTAAATGCTATTTCTGTGTTTATGCTATAATAAAATAATGTCAGAAGAAAGTACATGATGGTAAATTAAGTGTTACAGGGTGTGTCTACACATTCATAAATGCACTATAGGTAATGTGCATTAAATCTAGTACCTCCATTTTGAGGTACTAGAAAAAGGCTCATTAGCCTATTTTAATGCACACTAGCTAAAGACCGTGGTTTTTGTGATGCTTTAATGCACATTAAAATAGGCTAATGTGTATTAAAGTGCATGTGTATATGCGCCCACAGATTCCACAGGTACTCAAAGGAAAAAGCAGTTGAAAAATACAGAATAAGCATACTTCATTTAATTTCATGGAACCACAGAACAGAATCAAAGAAGAGTAGGGCTGAAAGTGACTTTTGGACGTCATCTAGTCCAACATCCTTCTGTGGCAGGATCATCCCTATCCCATATAAATCCCAGTCTAACCTATTACTAAAACGACACAATCACCCCTACTGCACAAGTAAAAGGCACAGAACCCTAACCTGCCACAAGTAAAGCAGGGGCATGAGGGCTGTCAGTATCCTGCTGCTGCAAGGGGTGTTAAAATAAAGTAGAGGGGCAAGACCCTCTAGCCAGGAACTTTCAAGTTTTAGTCCCAGCAGAACCACTGGCATATCCCAGTTAAAATCTCCAAGCTTGGCTATATCTAACACCCAATGCTTCTGAGGAAGGCAGGACTTCTGTGCCATCTTGATTTGGCTCTCTTGTACTTAAGCATTATGATTTAGTCTTTAGAAGGCCACAAGTCCCTTGAGTTTCAATTTAATCATTCTTTTTCTACAGGCCCCCTGGATTTTTTGGCAAGTTGAACTGGAATTTAAAAATAAATAAACTTATGGCAGACATTTAGCAAGGAAACTTTCCATGTGAATGGTTAAAGTTTGCCAAAGCCAGAAGCAATTATAAACAGAGTCTCCTACTGGAAAGTACTGGGCATCCTGAACTACTGGATCCAACTGTAATCAGCCTATAATTTTTATTTTCCAAGAAGCAATAAATAAAGTCACAAAAAAGTGCATCACTATCGATCACCATGAAAGTGAACAGATTCTGACATCAGTAAATGAATACAGCAACAAATCTGGCTTAATCAGAAAGAAAATATGTTCACTTTCATAGGTAGCTAGTCAGGATTTAAAGTCTAATTCAAAATAAGCATGTAAAATAGTTTCAATAGACTGAGCAAGTTCTCAGGACTTTTGCAATGGTCACTTTAACTGGTTATAACATAGCCAATATGAAACGGATTTGAGACTCATTTTTTATCTTTAAATATGAGTATCAATGAAGTTTTCATAGTTTGGTAATGGACTACCAAAGCAACAAAGAAAAATGCTTACGTATTACAAAAAACAACATGCTATGAGAGTTAGATTTATAATCCCATATAAAATTCAAAGACTCAGTGCTTTATTCAGAGGCTGGAACTATAAATCTTGACAGTTTTTTAAATAACTTCCTACTAATAATTTACAGCTTACCCATTCCCACAAATATCTACTTATGTATATGTTATTGCACAAACCTGAGTTAGAGTCTCCTGTTCATGTAGCAAGAGAAGTTTGGTTCCAGCTCCTTCAATTCTTTGCTCTAGCATCAGTGAAAAGTGTTCAATACACTTGATGGAAAGCTTTTCTTGGAGTGTTAAGATGACATCCTAAAATACCAAAAGATTTACAAACAGTGATTAAAATGATGAAACACATGGGGTCCAAATCTCCACGACTTCCCTTTTTGCATCAGTATGTAATTAGAAAGCAGAAGTAAAATTCTGCAAACCAGAATGGTTGTTTTTAATTTTGCTTTGTACAGGGGGAAATGACCACATGAAATACAAAGTAGTGGAAATTCAGGCTCTTTATGTTTATGCTTCTTTGATTGAAATATTTGGAATCAGATTATAACTGCACAGGAAAAACATAGTATCTGATTTGTGTATGAAATCACAATGGATGGTCTTTTGTATTAAGTGACAAAATCTCTCACAAGAAAGAAGGAAAAAACTCTTCTTTTGTAGTCTGCAAGCTATAGGTTGAGACTGGATACAACATCCTTTGGTGATGTTGATAAAGGCAGATTCAAACAAATAACCATATCTGTTCATATAGTGAATATTTTAAAAACTATAATTCAAATTTCTCATTAAAATGCATTAATATCCTTACATTTAAACACAGATTTACATATTTTAAATACTCTTGGAAAGTTAACAATAACAAGTGCCTGGAGAGTGCTGGGTTTGTTTTCATTTTCACTGTAAAACTTGTTTTTTGAAGAATTATAGCTAGCCTCTTTTACATCGACTTAAATCAGAATATAAATGACTAATTCAATTGTAATTATTCCAAAAACAGCAAGTAAATATTGAATTACCCAACTCCAGCTTTTAATTTGTCCATACCTGTTCAAAAATACACAATTAACATTTCTGTTTCTTTGTTTCTGTGTAAAGAATATTTAGATCATAAATATTTTAGGCTTGTTTTTCTTTTGAGTCCAACGGTAGATAGGAATGTGAAATAAAAATGATCGACTGCGTTAGCAGGGTAATTTTTGAAAGCATTTAAATTCATCCAGAAACATGTTAGGTATACATTAGGATCTAGATGCACAGTTTACTAAAGAGATCAAAATGAATAACAATCTAAGCTACTTTTTAAAGAAGTTAGTTCAAAATGGATCGGGCAGATCAACAGATCAATTACACATTTTCATGGACCAACAAGAAATTGGCGCAAAGGTAGTTTGTGTATTAGGGGACAAGACTGGAGAGGAGTGTATATAGCTTAAAAATGTCACATCATCAACTGAATGGAAGCTACTAATCTAAATAACAGAAGTGAATATTATATTGACTTGGAATAAATTAAAAAACCTATCCAATTAATCTGTTTTTATTGGAGCTTCTAATGTGTGCTCAAACACAAATAATATAAAATGAATTTGAATAAATATGTTTTTAAATTTAATTATCTTACATTGTGATATGAAATATTTTAATTGTTTTATTATACCTTTCCCTATATATACCGAAAGAAAATGCAGATGTCTAGTTATGGAAACTGTTTGTAAAAACATTCTCCCTTATTTAAATAACACATGATTTACTTGTAGCCTGTCTTCTAATCCAGTACCTTATACTCAAAAACTCAAAATTTCCTTAGTCTACTTTAATAAAGCTCCCTCCTTAAAACTCAAATTGAACAAAATGTTTTTGAAACTGATTGAACATCATGAGATATTTATAATGACAATCAAACTGATAAAATAAAGTGAGAAAATCACTGAATACATAGAATACATAAGGTATTTAAAAACAGAATTCCTTAAAGTTAGTACCTAACTACCCATATTAGCCTCATTCCCAATACCTGAATTACACAATGAGGTCTCCAAAACTTACCTGTGACTTTAACCAGAGAGATGTTGTCATGACAGAGCTTTGTCAGGACCTGACACAAAACTGTGGAATGAACTTCACAGAACTAAGGACTGGCACAAACCAGGTCCTATTCTGCTGGAAGTGCAAAGTTCAAACCTTTGATCTTGTTTCTGTTGTACAAACATGCAGTGACATATGTGTACATGCATGTGTGTGTATTGTTCTGCATACATATATATTCCAGAACAAATCAGTCCTGAGGACAGGCTGACTGAACAAACGTGATAGCTGTGTAGTCACATTGCTTAATGTACCCCTGGAAGGCATTCAGACAGTATGGTGATAAGCAGGGATCCTGGTTTTCTCTGATAACCACCATCCCCCTCTGCCCCCCCCGCCCCCCCAGTTTTCAGGTTAAAGTAACCCAAAATCC